GGGGGGGGTATACAAGTCTCATGATGTGTCGCTGTGTGCCTTTCTGTGGGAGAAACAGAGACCATTGATGTTTGAGGGAGACAGAGCGGAGAGGGGGGAGGGAGAGGGAGAGAACACCATAGGGAAAGTGTTTGTTTGGTTTAGTAAGAGTTTTACGGGCACTTGCAACACAATAAGGTCATATAAGTGCCAAAGGATAGAGGTGTTACAAAAGAGTGATAAACACAATAAAGTACGAGTGGAGATAAAGAGGACAGATAGTTGATAGGAAAGAAGAAGCAAACCACACCAGAGCACCCACCAAACACCCACAGGGAAAGTGTGGAAGGAATAAGACGGATGGGATTAGAGAAGGAGAGAAAGTTTTTAAAAAGCGTTAACAATAAACGAAGCAGGCTTAAAGGACAAAAAATATAATCGCCATGTTACCTTTGCCACAATCAGGATATCTGGCCTTACAGCTTACAGCTCACATTAAAACATCATTAATTAATATTATGTTATGTGCGTGTTATTGAGCTTTTCACTGAATGATTTCGAAACTGAAACATAGTTCACCCCGCCCCTCCCCCTCCCACGACCCCTATGACGTAACCCTCTTCCTTTTTCCGACAAAGTGTGGTCAAGAGAAAAAAATCCTGCTCTCTGGCTATTTCATTGCTTCAAAGACACTCGCAATTTTCATGCCTTAATTACTTTAATAGGCAGAAAGAATGAAAGAAAGCAACACAGAAAACAAACATTTGCTATAATTAATCACAGGTCACATTCTAAGAGTTTGTGTGCTGGTTTCTTTATGGCACGTGTTGACTGAAGCTGACAAAACGCCCTTTTTTCATTTTGGTGCCATTAAAAAAAAAAAAATCGAAAGCCTGATCAGTTACCCTACTTGTGTGAAAATAATGAAATTGAAACTGTGACTAGATTTTGAATAAATTAGAATTCAAATTTAGGAATCGCTCGTTTAATTGTTTAGGGGAGAAAGCAAAACCCTCTTTTTCTCGAAACTGCTGTGAAGAAAGAAAAGGGCGTTTTGTCAACTTGCGGTATTTTCAACCTTATTCTTTCTTTGAAGACGTCTCTCTGAACTGGAAGACCGTGTTGTATCATTTGTCACGTCTATTGTCTACTGTCTACACAAGAAAAGCTAAAACACAACAGAGAAGCCACCGTTCTCTATTGGTTCTGAATGGTACATCATGTTTATGTTAGCCTTTGCTTTGGAATTAAGGCCCTACAACTACTTCCAGTTTTTAAAAACCAGACACGAATAATTGTTTTGTTTCGCCAGATACGAATAGTTGTTTGTTATGCAGGATACGAATAGCTGGTTATTTTTCCACACACGAATATTCGTTTGTTTTACTAGATACGAATATTTGTTTTTGTTTTACAGAAACGAATAGCTGTTTGTTGGTTTGTTTGTTTGTTTGTAATTTTTTTAAAAATAAGAACAGAAAGGAGACAAATAAACCTGCTATTAAAATAACGTTGGCGTACGCCTTCATGCATCCTGCATGCTTATTCTTAACTAGATTAAATAAGAGACTTCATTTTTTTATGCTGAGTCATTATTTACGACACGCTGCGAGGTGCTTGGATAGGATCTGGAGAATCTGATTTAGATTTACCGTAACAACACGGGGTATATTCTGTTGTTTCATCTGTTAACGTTTTTCCTTCTTTCTGTGTTTTCTTCTTCAGGGCAAGCGAGGTCGGCGAGGAAGGAAAGGTCTGAAGGGAGACAAGGGAGACCCGGTAAGTGAGCCAGCCTCAGACATGTCGAACTGGGATCTCCCAGATAATACGGTCGCTTTTAAGCACAAGGGGGCTATTTCGAAAAATGTGAGACCTGCTGACAAAATGAGTTACTTCTCGCAATCCACAATAATGGAGATATTGGCCAAAGATCAACATTAGGGTCAAATTTGTTAAAATTTTAAAAAATTGAGACCATATTCTTTAAGTATAACATGCCTTTTATTATTTCATACGTATAAATTTTAAAGACTTCACCTATAAGCGTGATGTATCTTTTTCCATAGGGCTGGAACCCGAAAAGTAACTCTTTTTGTCAGCACGCTTCACAAATGTTGTTTTGAGAAAATCGAAGGTAAAGTTTTTGGGACCCTTGTTAAGTTTCTTTAAGGAGAGTTTTCTCTATAACCAAACACATAAACGGACCAATGAAATCAAACTTCTCCTATAGGTAGGGCAATGCCCACTTTTGGTGTACGTCAAGATTTCTGGAAACCTCCGATATCTGGGTTAACCCGCTTGTTCTTAAAAGTGAACGTATCTTCTGTCTGGTCTCTCTTTGGCCGTCTACGTATTGGAAACATTTTAATGTCTGAAGGAAAGGCTTGTAGGTGGAAGGTTTTGAACCCTGTACCTCTATCTGACCCAAGCTCTTATTACTGTGAGAAGCTACACATTCTCAGCTTCATGGGCATCTTGTTGATATAGGACAAGCGGGCTAACCCGTATTTCGGGGGTTTCCAGAAATCTTGACCTTCACCAAAAGTGGGCATTGCCCTGCCTATAGGAGAAGTTTGGTTTCATTGGTGTGTATATTTGCTTGATTTTAGAGAAAACTCTCCTTGTCTTTTAAAGAAACTGAACAAGGGTCAAAAACTTTACCTCCGATTTTCTGTAAACAGCATTATTTCGGGATAGCCCGCTTGTGCGTAAAAGCAACCAATTGTCTAGTACAGTCCAGATTATGTTAGGTAGAACTAAATGGAAAATCAAAAGGAGAAGGAATTATCAAGACTCTGTAGGTGCCTCAATTGAAAAAAAAAAGTGTTTCGTTTTTGCTAGAACTTGAACTAAATCAGAACAGTGAGATACACGGGGAGATGAGGTAAGGAAAGAACCTGTCTAGACCTGGAACAGGTAGTAACTTACTTTTTTAAAAGGTAAAAAGAAAACCTAATTGCAACCAATGATTTGACTCTTCTGTATGCCCATGTCCATTTTTACGCTTTTCAAGATCCTCTTGCTTCCCCCCACAATACTTACTTTTCCTGGCTTTTGAGTAAACATAACTAGCGAATGATATAACCAACACGGACAGTGCCTTTGATTTACCTTTGTTTTCTTCTGACCATAACGCCCTAATCTGGTGTGTGTCGTTCCTTTCTCTAATGGAAGTGTCTACGTACTCCCCGATTGGGGTCTACGTAGTCATGGTGTCTAGGTGGACCCCAAAATGTTGGATTGTGATAGGCTCGCTGAGCGAGCGGTAGTTTACATTGGTTACAACAAAGATACTACACCCTACGGTAGGCTGTACTATCTTTGGTTACAATGCAAGGCTACTGATCATCTCGGGCGGTGTGTCGATCTAGTGTTACTATAATTTATTTATTTTAGCCAAGAGAGAGAGTATTTAATGAATAAACGCATCTAGATCTAGAATCTAGATCTAATCTAGATGTCTAGATCTAGATCTAGATCTAGAATCTAAATCTAGACCGAACTGCACACTCTCGGCTGGGTGCACAACAAAATCTAGATTTAGATCTAGATCTAGATACGTTTATTCATTAAATTCTCTCTCTCTCTCTCTCTCTCTCTCTCTCTCTCTCTCTCTCTCTCTCTCTCTCTCTCTCTCTCTCTCTCTCTCTCTCTCTCTCTCTCTCTTGACAAAAATAAATTAATTATAGTAACACAAGATAGACATACTACCCGAGATGATCAGTAAGTAGGCCTAGCAGCCTTGCATTGTGACCAATGTAAACTACCGCTCGCTCAGCGAGCCAATCACAATCCAACATTTTTGGGGTCCACCTAGACACCATGACTTCGTAGACCCCAATCGGGGAGTATGTAGACACTTCATTCTCTAATAGTATCCACAAACTCCACAACAGAGAAAAGAGAGACAGTGAGAGAGAGAGAGAAAAGAAATTTTTGCAGGGTGTCCTCCACCATCCCTCAAACCGCTTACATAGCCAGTCGTGATATCGTTTCAAGCCACGGCTCCATTTACATTTTGCTTTTCCCGGAAGTTTTCTTCTTTTTCTTTTTTTTTTTTTTTTTTTGGGTAACCTCTGAACTTGTTGCTTCCGCTTTGTTTAACCTTTGCCCTGACTAACATGGCCACGACAGGGAATCCCCGGCCTGGACGCCCCCTGCCCACTGGATGAGGACGGTCTCCCCATACCAGGATGTGGCTGGTTCCCCTCAGAAAACGGTCCACAGGTACCCTGGCATGCGCATGTCCGCCTCGTTGCCATGGCAACTCACGACAACTGACGCACTATTGCAGACTGGTTCATGACTGGGGTACAAGGAGGGAAACAATGGAGACTGCACTTTGTACTTCTCGGAGATATCTAAAATAAGAATGGAACATACGATTTTCTACAAAGTTAACGTAAACTTTCCCTTTTGATCAGTCAAAGCAAAGGCTTACTCGTGCTAGATTCTGTGAACTGAAACACAGGGCGTTCCATTTTCTTTGATTCAGAAAATAGAAAAATTATATTTAAAATTGTCTTGGGACTACATCGGTTCGCCTGAAACGAGAGGCTGGAATTTCCCATGGGCTGAAATTGTCCCACTTCCCTAGATTTGCTCTGTCTTCAAACGCTGCATGCGTTAATATTACGGCAAAGAGTACACTGTGCGTGCATCTACAACAGTTTCCCTCCTTGCCCTCGATGTAACAACAATCTACTCCGCACTGCGGTGCCTTCCTTCCTCACCTCAGCACACACGTAATCTCAGAAGTCAGCGTCGGTTGGGGAAATGTTCGAGTTTAGGTCCGGGGGAACAAGGTGTGACATGTTTCACTGGGTACCAAGGCAAAGTAATCCGAGAGTGCTATCGACCTAATTTCTGAGGAAACTACCTTATGTACCAAGGACTTAATACTGCTTAAAATGTATTTATTTTTGCAAGGGTAAATCGCGTTATCAGTGGCGGCACTTCGGGTAAGGAAGCATAGTCTCGTATTTTGCGATAGCTCACGTTTTTATTGAGAAAGCTAAGGCACTGATAATATCGCCTATTTGTGTTTCAAGAGTAGTAAAACTGGGTCCGACTAAAGCTAAAACTAAGAAATATTGTATGAAATCTGTGAGTCTGATGGTGTGACTTTCGGCAAGTTAAAACGATGTCTCGGTAATCTTTAAAAAGGCAGAGATCTTTTATGCCAAACGAAACTTTCACACGTGATAAACAGTTTGGTGTAATTTGGATAAAAGTAGTATCTTCTTGGGTTGAAAAGTTGCTTATTTGAGATACTACGGTTTGCTTCCTTTCCCGCCGTCAGTGTAAAATCTCTGAGCTCAAGCCATAGACTTATGTTCTGACATCCTAGACCGCGCACTCTCACGTACTTCCGGTTCGCCATGGAACTCATCAGTTAACTCTATGTACAACCAAACATGAAAAGTAAGGAGGAAAGTATATGAGCGCACTCGACTTTTAGCAAGACCAGTGTTTAGCCCTTTTTTGCACGACAATGGTGTGCACAAGCGCTGCCATGCGAAGTTCTTTCAGAGAGCGCCATGACAGTGCCCGGTCGAAGATATCATAATTTAAGTCTATGGCCCATATGTTTAAATAGTGACATACCTTTGGTTACGTCTGTGCTGAGTGTGATTCTTGTGGCTCTGTACTCCTGCTCTCATTGTAGGAATGCGAACAAATCATAATAACATGCAATGTTCTATCTCTTTCATAAAGCATTGGAGCAAACTTGTACTAACAAAGTGATAGTGCCATAACCAAGTGAGCAGTCGAAGCAACAGTCTGCAGCATAATGTAGAGGTTTCTTGAAGAGCTTTTAGATTCCAGATGTGGTGTGTTCTGATTTATTTTGTGTGTACAGTTCGCTACACACGGTCAATATTGTGCATACATTTTGTCCACTGCATTGGAAGCAAAAAATTAAAAGTATATGCATCTGCATCATAACAGCCATGAGAACGAAACGCACAAGGCATGTAAATACACGCAAGACAAAAATCTATATCCAGAAGCAAAACCGGGAGCGGGGGTTGAGTCATGACAATAAACAATAATGTTTGTTTCTATTATCATTGTGTTGGTCTATCTTGTATGGCCTGTGGTGGCAATGGTGACTAAGTAGGTCTCTGCGTGCCATAAACTGCCAGTCGAAAAGACAACTACAGTTCTATATATATTTTCTTGAGTCATTTTGTGTTAAGTCAGTCAGTAGAAAGAGAATTGAAACGCCCAACACGCTTGAAAAGACCCAGTTAAATAACAGACAGGACAAGAATAGGATCTCACACAATTCTCTGGTTCACGTCAGACTGTATGGGTGTGGATGAATGATAGAGATTTGCGTTGATAAAATCAAAGTCATGCATAACGATGTTGTATTTTCTTGTAACTGTCCTTCTCTCAGATATACGTAAAACCGCACCCGGACGAAGTTAGCCTAAGGTAGAGATATTGTCTCTTCTCTTTGTGTGTGCACACAGTTATGCATCTTGGAAATAGAACAATAATTTAACTGTGCAATAATTGCTGTCATAAGTCGAGATTTTAAGAGCGGCGAGAGTTTTGAACAATGTTTTGTAAAATCAACACTTGAATGACATACAGCTGAGCCTTCAAGAAAGCATCTATTGAAACCATGGAGAGGTTTATTGTAAAAACAAATTAAATGCTTCAAGTAAGAAATAACAGCACAATCAGAGCTATTGGAAATTTGGTTTGTGTTCCCTTTAGGTAGTTTTGCTTTCCATCAACATATTAGACATCAGTGTATCTGATATTTCCCAGTTTTAAAAGATATAACATCTAGAAATCTAGAAGACTTAAACTCTATGATATTATACAATTACTCTGGACAACTTATCAATGAGCAATCTACCAATACGTATGTAACCCTTTTAAAAGAAATCGTTTAAAGTCTTCGCACATTGCCTTCATCTTAATGTCTGCCTCAGAAAGAGAATATTTAAAAAACCCATCTCATGTAGTCTTGATTGAAGAGGCATGAACACCCCGTTACAAAACTTTGCCCGAACTGAATGCGTTGGCACTTCATTCCATAACAGCTTGTCTTTCTTTCTTTTTATTTCTGAGAACAGATCTCTCGTGTGGCTGCAGAATGCTGTACACCCCACTAATATATGTATTATTATTTATCACATGTTGCTTTCTCTTTGTTTTTATCTCTGAAGTGTATTTGGTTGTGGGACATCATGAATGACATCATAACTATGGCGAGATTGCCGCGAGTTTGAATCCCCACCCCCCTAACACTTGACTGAAAACTGCATTGTGTAATTTCTGTTTGATGATACATATTTAGCGTGTGGTTTGAGTTAGGGCTGGACTGACTCGACTGCGAGCCCTGTGGAAGGAAACCATAGATTTGTATCATGTAATATCCTAGACTTTGCACTCTGATGTACTTCCGGTTCACCATGGGGCGCACCATTTTATTCTATTTGGTACCAAGGGGGGGGGGGGTAGGTGCAAGTCACTTGACTACAACGAGACTGGTGTTTCGCCTTTCATTTTTTTTTTTTTGAGCTCATGATGCTCTTCATTTTTTTCTGAGAGTGAAGAGTTGCAGGCCTTACAGTGCACGGTTCTAATATATTATAATTCAAATCTATGGCAGAGATCTACAACGATTGCACGTTATGTAAGATCTGATGAACGTCGTTGCTTTGGTTTACGGTGAAGTGGAAGTGTGGATAAGCGGGCATTGAGTGTAGTAAATATCCCAACTTGTCCTTGGTAGTGTATTGGCAAGCGATATTTAATCCGGCTGGATCTAAAATAATGATATGTAGATCTAATGTTTCCCAAGTGATGGTGGAGACCGCAGCCACTCTTTTTTTCTGAGCAGACTAAGGTCTCAAAGCCAAGAGAAGACTCTGTGTCGTTGCGGGTCGCGGGATCTGAAACGTATTGCGTGTTTTTCTCATGGCGCCTTTTTGCAGTTCCAATTACCATTGCTAAAATACATTTTATAACTTAAGAGAAATTTACTTTTACACTTTCCCTGTGAAATGAGAAAATGTTAATTGTTTGAATTTTGGGGTACTGTAGGAATCACTTGGTTGTTAATATAGGCTGTCAGCTTGCCACGCTTCCATTTCTTTTTCATTGCACGCACAGCATAACTTTGACATGATTTCTCTCGCAGTCCAGTACTCCATTTTCCCACCTTATGAATCATGCTGAGGCATGTGCACCTTGTTTTCCTCATAACCCTGCATGCCGTGTGTCCGATGTTCTAGGGCGCCCCTGGGCTAGATGTGCCCTGTCCCGTCGGCCCAGATGGGTTCCCACTGCCCGGGTGTGGCATCCGATCCGACTTAAAGTCGAAAAGAAGAGGCAAACGCAAGCGGCCTTGAATTACCCGGCGGTAGAGTTCTCCTCCCGAGATCAGGTAATGAGTTTGATGACAAACGAGGCCAGGTGCAGCCTCATAATGTCGCGAGCAATATTATGTCTCGACTGTGAAGAAAAAAAGCCAACGACTGAATCTTTTTAGAGAGTCTCATTTCTGTTCGTCTCTAGACTTTTCCGAATCCTCATTCCTTGATCTAAAGGTTGTTGAAGATTACATCAATACTGCGCAGTCATTAAACGAATAGGAGAAATGATATGCTTCGATCTGTTTCTCCCACAAGACAATCGCCATAACACACATTATATTAGTTATACATAACATCACCACCAAAGGAACTCAAGTACTCAGAGACCAACAGACTCAAAAACATGCGCGTATACACATGCATACACACAAACACACTTGCACAAAAACACAGACACACATACACACACACACACACACACACACACACACACACTTACACACACACGCACACACACACACATACATACACACATACATACAGGAGCACATAAACACACGCACACATGCACTGAAACACAGCAGCATCTCAGCGATCAAGTCATGAAACGAGAACACTCACCTTTCCACACATAGACCAAACTCACTGTAGGCATACAAGTCATTACATCAAGAGCCTAAAAACGTTCAAACTTAGCAAAAAGCCAGTTGAGATATACAGTCACAGTTCATCACATCACATTCCCATGACTAGCAGAATAGGATTAATCACATATTATATCCAGTACTTTTTCATTGCAATACTCCTTAACGCTGTAACCCCCCCTCCCCCCACTCTCTCTCTCTCTCTCTCTCTCTCTCTCTCTCTCTCTCTCTCTCTGTGCGTGTGTATGTATGTGCATATGTGCATATGTGCGTGATCATGAGATCAAACCCAGTTCCTGATCTCACTCAGCATGCTTCTGTATCTCTCCATTCATCTTCCGCCTCGCATCGTGTGTTTTTGCGCAGTTCCCTTGTCCCTGCAAAATACCCAACATGACTAGACACAGTTTTACTAACGATTAATTAAAGCCTGTCCTCAAATATATCTATGGAAGTGGAGAAACATTATTATTTAATTATTTACTCACACTCTGAAAGTCAATATCGGACCGAGATTGCTCCTAATTGTGGAATGTCTGCATAATATTTATCTTATTTATTATTTGTGTGTGTGTGTGTGTGTGTGTGTTTGTGTGTGTGTGTGTGTGTGTGTGTGTGTGTGTGTATGTGTGTGTGTGTGTGTGTGTGTGTGTGTGTGTGACATATCAAAATATGTATAACTCATATACCCAATATCTGCACGAGTTTATAATATTATGTTCATACTGTTCGATTAGATGTTTGTTTATCTCTGAACACGTATTATTATTATTACAGGGTACAGTATAGGTGGTAATTTTCCTCTATATTTTTTTTACAACGAAGGAAAAAGGTGTAACTGACAGGGCCGCCTAATAAGTGAATAACTCAGTTGTGTCGTATGTCGATCGTGCTCTCGCCACACACAACTTGCTGGGTCTATGTTTGGCTCGAATTGGTTTGGATAGAAGTTGGACTCATTGATGGCGAGCTTTCAAGTCATTCTCAGCGTTTTGGGGCACTTCGTACAAGAAGCAACTTCTTTATTCGTACGGATTTTTCATTTTTATTTTCTGCATCTGAAACTTTAAAGGGCAGACAACAGCATAATGAAGACTACAGGGGGAAACGTGAGGGTACCAATTTTGAACGCTTGTTGATTCATCACTGTATTTCTGTTCAACTGTTGGTTGATTAATGTTGTTAGATTTCGAAATTCAACAACACTTAACAATAAACCACCAGTCAAACAAATATGAAGTTATGAGTCCACAAGCTTTTAAAATTGGCACCCTCACAATTTCCAGTTTGTGACTACCGTCGTTTTTCCTTGTAGTCTTCACATACTATAAATTGTGCAAATTTGTGGCTGTGATTTGTTTGTGATGGTTTGAAATGTGCGGCAACATTGCCTTTGGTCCCCTGCTGATTGGACATAACTTTATGTGTGGGATACGACCTTCAAGAGATAAAACTGATTTCTTATCTATAGGAGACTCGACAATATGTCAGCGTCTGTCTGTGGTTGATCTTAATCAGTAGTCCGTATTAGGCAACCTTTTAGAAACTCACCGAAGAACATCAGAGGGGATTCTAGCAAGGAACGAACCCGTAAGCTTCCGTTTACAAAGCAAGCGTCTTTATCACTACACCATGTTCACCCCCCTGATGTTTAGTTTTATTAAGAGTTTTACGACGCTTGCAACACAATAAGGTCATATAAGTGCCGAAGATTAGATGTGTTACAAGAGTGTAACATAACACAAAAAAAGAAGAAGGGGAGATAAGAGCGATAGATGTTTGATAGGAAAGAAGGAGCAAACCACACCAGAGCACCCGCCAACCACCAACATCCCCTGGTGTGTATGCAAATTGAGGGAAGTTGACGAAAGAGTGACCAATGTGCCTTGTCACGTACGAGGGCAGAGGGCCCAGTTCCCGCTCAAGGACAGCCCCAGTGATATAACGTATGTCCTTGAAACATAGTCCTTTTCCACACAGTTGGAGACTACAGGGCAAAAAAACCGACAGAGTCACATGTTCTAGAGTTTGAGATGTCTTAGTATATACGTTTTGTACATGAAATCTTAAAAAAGAATTTCAGATTTCCTCTGCACATTCTGGCTGCACTTTGTCGTTATTCTCTCTTTGTGTTATAATTATTTTTTTAAAGTTGTTTTGTGAAACTTCCTCTGGGTATATCTCAAAATAATTACACGTAAAGTGTACTTCTGTCGGGGTTTTTTTCAATGTAAAATAGAGCTGTTATTTTATTATATACAAATTTCACGCAGTACTGAGACCAGTGTGTCATAATTTAGAGGGAGGACGCAAGCGTCATCGGTGATATAATATGCTGTAGTTAGAGTTTTAAGAAACTTACATTACAAATAGGACATAATTATAGGTGCTGAAGATTAGAGATGTTACTACAAGAGAGTAATAAGCAAAAATGAGAGAAGGAGATATTAAAACAGGACGATCGATGAGTGATAGGAAAGAAGGAGCACACCACACCAGCGCAATCTCTCACAATCATTGGGGGAGAAAAAGGAAGAGAGGAGTAGGAAGTTATGCTGGCAGGGGAGATGGCGCCGACAGATTGATACTTCCAAACGCTCTTGTCTGTGTGTTCTGGCTCTGTGTGTGGATGTTTGAACATCCTGCTGGCACTCCACATGACAAGGATTCTCCGCCCCGTCACCCACCCCCTCTTTCCCTTTAATTTTTCCAGGACTGCGGTTCCTAAGAACTAATTATCATGTTCTTTTCTTTTAAATATTTCGCTTGGGCGTGTTCTCAAGTGAAGGGGGTCATGGTAAAAGAAAAGCATGATACGTCCATTTTCAGAATACATCAGGGCATTAGCTTTTAACTTACAACAGTTCGTGTAAACTATAAAACCAATCAAGTGGGAAAAGTCAACTGAGGCATTCACAAACTGTATTTTGAAAAAAATAATTAATTAAAGATAAGCTAAGTCCATCATTAAAAAGTAAAACGTTGGTTACGTTGTGATGGGATTAACTTTACTCACCTTGTTTTTAACTTGAGCCCTTCAGTTCTTTTCCCCCATCATGAACCCGTCATGTGGTAGAGGTATGGTCTCAAAGCCTCACACTGCAGACAATTTCAGTAGGGTATAGGCTTCGCAGTGAGGAGATAATGGTGCTTTGAGACTTGAGAGAACTAGGTCACAATGACATCATCAAACGCCACCGTAGACACGGCCACAGCATCTAGACATTTTGGTAGATATAGATATATATATATAGTTTTGTATATATATATATATATAGCGCACACTGAGCGAGTAATCATACGTGAGGTTTTAGGTCTAGTTCACCGGCAGTAGATAAACGTCTCAGGAACCCATCAAACCAAACAATTTTGAGTGGCTAAATAGTACGTAATCTTCTTTCGTAGCTCTACATCGTCAAAAAAAATCTCAACAGAATTTGTCGCAAGTACGAAGAAAAAGAGACGTAACCGG